AGAGACAACCTTAATACCTTAGTGTCATAATATTTGAATTAAATAATTGATTAAAAACCAAATTAGATTTAAATTAAAAAGTTTTAATTTAAATCAACTGAATTTCCAAAAACTTAATTGGGGTCTCACAGCTTAATTAGGGCCCATAACTTAATTGAATAAATTAAGTATACCAAAGTGGACCCATGAAAAGCCGAGGCTTAACCATAATGAACACGAAGTTCCCTTAACTTCGAACGCGAGGTTCGACTGTATTGAGTACGAGACTCACTTAAGCACGAACGCGAGGTTCGTCTGAAAATGAACGAACGCGAGGTTCGTTTGATAAAAGAACGCGAGGTTCAACTTGGGAACGAACGCGAGGTTCGTTTAAAAATGAACGCGAGGTTCGACTGAAGTACGAACGCGAGGTTCGTACGCTCACCTGAGTTGAACGCGAGGTTCACCTTAGAACGAACGCGAGGTTCGTTAAAATTGAGCTTGACGCTCACCTGAGTTGAACGCGAGGTTCACCTTGGGAACGAACGCGAGGTTCGTTGAAATTGAGCTTGACGCTCACCTTAGTTGAACGCGAGGTTCACCTTAGAACGAACGCGAGGTCGTTAAAAATTGAGCTTGACGCTCACCTGAGTTGAACGCGAGGTTCACCTTAGAACGAACGCGAGGTTCGTTAAAAAAATTGAGCTTGACGCTCACCTGAGTTGAACGCGAGGTTCACCTTAGAACGAACGCGAGGTTCGTTGAGCGCGAAGCTCGGTTAAAATTGAACGAACGCGAGGTTCGTTTGAGGTAACCACCTCCTTAATTTTCGCCATGAACCCTTAGGGTTTCAAACTGAAACCGCCTCCGTCAAACCAAAAAATCTTTGATTTTTATTTTCAAAACAGATCCAGAATTGGAAAAATTTGAAGAAAAAATCAAAGAAAAGTCCAAAAAAATTTCCAAAAAGTTACTGTTCACCGGCGATTTTTAGTTACTGTTCATCCAAAATCTTTGATTTTTATTTTCAAAACAGATCCAGAATTGGAAAAATTTGAAGAAAAAATCAAAGAAAAGTCCAAAAAAATTTCCAAAAAGTTACTGTTCACCGGCGATTTTTAGTTACTGTTCATCCGAAAAATCCTTTACTGTTCATCCGAAAAAATTTTCGTACTGTTCATCCGAAACAAAAAAATTACTGTTCATCCGAACATAAAAACTGAATCTTTAACCAGAGATTTAAGATCAAAAAACCCAATAAAACTTAAATCCCTAAGAATTAATCAAGGTGGCTCTGATACCATCATAAACTTGAGATCTAAAACCATATAGCCATGATTAATTCAAAGAGATTAACAAATAATCAAAAGAGCGGAAGCTTATACCTGAATCCATGGATGAAATCTTGATTTGGGTTTTTTTGGATCTTCTAACCTTAGGGTTCTCTCTAAAACCGAATTTCTCTAGCTAGATGGGGGTGTAGAGAATTCGAGAATGTAACCCTAGGTTAGGGACCATAACCCCTTATTTATAGATGTTGTACTTTTATAATTTAGCCCCTCAATAAATCACAATTACAACCTGGTATCTGCACATATAACCCCATGACTTATTTAAATACCAAATTAACCCAACTTAATTGATCACTTTAGTGGGTTATCCTGAAAGATAGCAATACACATTGATTAATCATATGTGCCCACAAATAGATTTATTAGATTAAATCCAACAAGTGGAAGATATTTTGGTCCGATATTATGATGATGATTTTTGTATTGCTATCTTTTATTCTTAGTTGGGATTGATGATTAGCGATTCACAATTTGAGGCATATGGTATATACATGAGGGTTTTCTTGTTTAAATTATTTTGCTCGACGTACCAGTCTCGTGTTGTGAGTTTCTAATTATTAATTCTATTTAAATTGTTTATTCTTAGTCCGGTATCGATATTTAGTTATCTTCACTTTGAGATATATGATATATACATGAGGGTTTCCTTATTTAGATTATTGCACTCGACATACTACGTCTCGTGTTGTAGGTTTCTAAATATTAATTCTATTTAGATACAGGGTAAATGATCTAGGTAGACTATGCTTAATAGATAGAGCCCCCATTACATCTAGTAGCCCTTCTCCTGGGAGCGGATGAAGATGATCTTGATGTAGCGCTCTGACACTCTTGTTGTTTCTCTTTTTATTTTTCAATTCATTTCAGGCAGCAGCTCAGAGTTTCAGAGAGCCTCAGGATGACGGACTTCCAGCATATATAGTCGTTGTCACATATTTTTAGTAGATAAGACTCCACCGTAGTTGATATTTATCTCTAGACATTTAGAGGTTTGTATTTCATCTTGTAAAAGCTGTGTGTCTTAGTTTATTTTTAGTTGACTCATATTGAGATACTTCATATTTATTTCAGACTTCAGTTGTATTCAGTTTATTCAGTTGAGACATGATTACATATATTAGATATCTCTTTCTACATCATATCTATTGCATTTATTTCCCTTATTTTTGCTTGTTTTGTACCTGCACTTGTATTTGATTCCACTAGAGAGATATTACCGTGATGGTGAAACGTGTTATTGCACAATGTGGGTGCATGACATGTTTGACATCTCTGGGTTCACCTTTGACTGTAGCCATGTGTGAAAACAGAGGCGTCACAACCAAACATTATAATTCTTCTCATTCAGTTTCTCCCCCTTATTGAGGTCGGGAACATTGCTATTGGGAGCAGCCATACTCAACTAGAATCATAATAAATGACACATAATTAATAAGTAGCACAATTCATAAATATTTTGTTGCATTATCTTGAATAATTTAGTAATAATCTAACTAAGTCATGGAATTGAAAGAAATGTAATACACATCTAATCATCTCCCATTAATAAAGTTTTAACATTATTAAATCATTCAATTGTGTGTAAAGTCTAGGAATTAGGCGGATTTTTTTTTAAAAAATAGTCTATCAACCTAAAACCTCCCACTCAAAAATATATCATGACATGTTATTAAGCATGCTAATTAAAAATTAATTAAACATGTCAATTAATTTGCAGGAAAAAATACAACTAATTTTATGTCAAACATGCCATGAAATAACAACAACTTATAGACTTCTATAGGGTCAAACCACAATTAATTAAAAAAATTCTGGGTAGAACTGTAATTTTATAAAAACTGGGCCAAAACTATAATTTTTTGGAAATTGTGTCAAATATGTAAATTTCCCAAAACAGGTCAAAACTACAATTTTCTAGAAACTGCGTCTGTTTGCAAAAAAAGAAATATCTTAGACTAAACTGTAAGTTTACACAAAAAATGAGTTTGTTTGCAAGTTTTCATAAACTCTGGGATTTGCTATAATTTTATACAAAATAGATTCAGGTTCTGTTTACAAATTTATCGTAATATAAGGACTTACATGTAATTTAGAAAAAATCGTCATTTCACTGTGTCTGTAATAAAAAATATTTTTAGAGGTCGAAATGCAAAACCACATATCATCTTCAACCTTGCATCATAAACTATGTTGCATCATTTCAATTTTGCATTAGCATAACTTTTCAACCCGTCATCCAAATAAGGCAAATGATATGTCTATGGAAAGCTTTCATCCAGAGCTAAACATGGGGATTTATAATGGATCAAATAACTTAATAACCAGAGAGATATATGTCTGCAAACATCAGGTTATTCAAAACGTATTAAAATTCAAAATTAAATCTCTCTTAAACCACACGATGGTTTCAAATGAAATTTTGCGGAGACATTCAAAATTGTATAATCTATCATTCGTGCCAATATAAGATCATAACAACAAGTATATTAAAAATTGTCATTAAACATTTAACAAGCTTTCTTTTAATGGTCATATACAATACTTAGCAATACAAATGATCTTTCTTATCTAAGAGTACGAAATCTAGCCTTAGTTCTGATACCAATGTTACATTTAGAGAATAATCATCGAATCGGAAATGCGGAATTAATATTGTTACCAATTCGAAGCGTTCAAGGATCTTTATAGCCATCGGCTAGATTCGCGTGCTCCACGACCTTCGCTGTTGACCCCTTGATCACCAAGAGGAAACAAGGACATGATCCACAACTCAAATGTCTCTACAACTCACAAGTATTGATGGCTATAGTTACTTTCATAAGCATTCTTTTGGAGTTCTAGGAACACTGTTCACGATAGAGGGGAAGAAACTAATGTACGCTTTGGTTTGGGCATGGTTAGTTGCTATAATTTCTCATGATGGAGGGGTTATGCGGTTATGGGCGTAACCATACTCCCCCACGTCCTACAAGAGTGACTTATGTAAATAAACTATAAATGGAATAAGATTTGCTCATGATTGAGACTCGTATTTTACTCCAGAGAAAACAATGATTATGAGAAATTAATAGAAGAATTTCTTTATAATTACAGGTTTTTAATGCAGCTGTATTTGAGGTCATTTATATGGTTCTACATATGGTGGATTTTTTTTCAATGCTTTTAAGAAGTCCTTTGGAAAGTAATTATGACAACAAACATATATGATTGACGTGGTTATTTTGGAGGAAGAAAATAAAATATTTCAAGTCAGAGCGCATAAGTTGCTGAGAATCTGAATTAGTACAACTTTGTCGATAACTACTAGTTATATTTTGGTACATACTTCACCTATTGTTAAGATGGTTTGTAAGAAAAACCCAAAAATCTATATATATAGAAAAAATAATGATAGGGGCACATCCTCTATCACACTCCTAACCACACCACCTCTCTCGTTACAGTACACGGGGCCCACATGAGATTTTAATTTTTAAAATCTCATGTGAGCCCCGTGCACTGTAGCAAGAGAGGTGATGTGATTGGGAGTGTGGCAGAGGGTGTGTCTCTAGTGCCTCTCATATAGAAATAGGATAATTTCTAGCTTTAGTACGGTCCATGCTGAGCCGGGTCGGTTTGCTTCTTAAACAGAACCAAGCCGTCATCGAGTTGCGCTCCAAAGTATGGGAGGTTCTATATATACCCTAGAATTTTCACATCTCCTTCAAAATTTCCCCCTTTCCCTTAAAAAAAATCAAAATCAAAATTGAGAGTGAGGCTGCCTAAATTCTCGCTCAAGGTCAATAGATCACTGAGATTCCCACTGAGGTCAGCTCCATCTCCTTCATCGATTCCTCTCTCGCTCTCTCTCGCTCTTTACGAATCTTTGTAGATCCTTTTCTGCTGTCTCCGTAAAGAACCCTGTTTTCTGCAATTGTTTATGCTAATTTCTGGTTCTACGATCTGTCTATTTACGGATAGTTGATATTTTAGTACTAGGGTTAGCTAGGGTTGATAATCCTTCGGCTTGAACATTGATTCTTGCAGTTGGGAATTGGGAGTAAAACTATAGCGCGCTGTTTGTATAAAGATTTTGTGGTTATGTATGGTTGTTGTCTATGAGCGCCAAGTTATAGCTGGAAAT